TTCATTATTATACACGCATCATCGATTATACACCTGTTTTTCATCTTCAAAATTTCGCTGCTTCTTCATATCGTCTATCAGTTAATCATTCGGTTCGATATAACTTCAGTGTTGTCCATTAGCCGCCATTCACACAGCAAGCAACATGATGCAAAGATTTCACCATAATTTCTTTAGAGATTATGGCTTTGTACCCCTTTTGGAAAGTAAGCAGTGATCAACATTCATAGATTTATATGATGATAGGGTTCAACAGCAATTCAGCTTCATTTAAGAGAGAGCATGCGAAAATTGTTTTTCTGTGCCTTCTTTTCACCCATTGGTGAACGATAGTAATGAATCGAGACAACAGTAGAGACGAACGGCGCTTGCTGCGTTGTGCATTTACGTTTAATTTGGATGTCGAAATCTGTCAATTCAGAGAGGCAGCCTTGTTCAAGGCTATATATTCAGATTCTCATCACTTTGAAAGGCTATATCTGTCGTCGGCAACCGTCATCGCTTAAGATGGGCAACGGTTTCCGAACCTTGTCACTAGGTTCCTAGCCAGAAGAGGGTCTTTGTTACAGATCGATCTGCCATGAAGGTATAAGGATCCCTTCCTACCCTATTTATAACAGCCGCACTAACCAATTGTTTCTCGATTTAGGATCGGCCTTCATGACTACCATAGCTTCCGAACGTTCGCGTTGCCACTTTGATCATTATCAACTCCCGCGATGTGGACGCAGTGGATAGATAATGGCAGCAAACAAAGTTGTGCTGATAAAAAATCCAGAGAGAGGCCAGACTGATTACATTTACTTTCGCAGAGAGCATATGGAAGTATAATTCTATCTACCACTCCCCTAGTTTGCGAACCGTTCTACAAACTGCAGGCGACTCCTGCCGGTAACTGTTTAACTTGTTGTTTAACTTGGCTATGTTTTCTGTTTGTTTTGTGAAAGTGTTCTCTTGTTTAAAAGACTAGCTATCGGCAGCTATCTCCCATCAAACAAGTTAGCAGATTTCTGCACGTAGAAAACTTTAAATCAATATTTGCGCATATTCTTAAGGTTTCCCATAATATTCAATGTATCAGACGTTGACCTTTGGGAATTGTTGTGCATTAACTTCGTTCATTAGTCTTTCGGATAGGGAAACAAGGAGAAAAACACAGTCGTAAGATGGATATTTATATTGCTTAATCATGTCAATGTGAAATGAGTTAGTTTTGACCTCAGTTCTGCTTATCGTCAAATTTTCAGCGCTGCTATCTGTAATGCTACATGCACTGCGAACGACATTTAATCTTCAGCTTTTTAAGTACGACTTAAGCGGTGACCATACGCTGTCGCCTCACTAAATTTGTACGCAGTAAGCGCACTGATCTTTTGCTTCCATTGGCCTATGCGGCTATTTAAGAAGGTTTGTGCTTGGGCTCAAAAAATTACCAGTTGTTTTTTGAACAAAAGCATGTTCGAACACAAAAGAATATACCTCATTCAGTAGGCATTTTTAATGAAAGATCGGTAACAGTGCTACCAACTTAAAATGAAGTTATTGTTAAGGGCTTTAAGACCCATTGTAACAATTTACTGTCGATCACTGAAAACAGAAACCTGCGATTTGGCGTTGCCATTAAGACTAAGCATAGGTTGAGCAGTTAAGATGCCAAAATGATTTATCTGAAGTTGGTTTCACACCTTTGCAGTGCTGTTCATCAAAAACAGGTTCGCTTTTAAACAGCTGTTAAAGCTAAAAGTTCCTATAAAAAGAGTGATTAAAAAACAGGAAGGAGTTTGACCTTTGCAGTACCGGATATCTTCGCCTACAGGACAGGTGACGCAGACATCGCTGTTACAAGAACCAATTGTCATTGATTTATACTGCGTGATCGACAGTAATGCAACATACATAGCTCGTAGCTCCTCATTTTCTCTTCAGGAAGCGGTTCTTGTTTAAAAGCCACTGTAGCTCGGCGTGATTCCTTCTCTGCCCATTTGTTTATAGAATGCTACAACATTTCCTATGGTCTTGGTTCTGAAACATACGGGGATGTTTCGTATATTCAAGCAGTAAGCAGATCTTTCGATAAACAGTATTAAGTTGAGGAAGTTAAGTTTTAAGAGGCGTGAAACTTTTCTGAGACAACTGACCTCAGCAACAAATAACCAATTCTGCTAAGTGAATAAAAAACGAAAAATGACATGAAGCTGTTTTGGAAGAATGAAAATGTTCCTATATGAGAAAAGTCTAGAATATGGATGCCAAACATTGACCCTACGGATTAAGGCTGTCGATGAAATATACACTATGCAAAACAGCATGGAAGAGCATGTTGGAAAAACAAGAAATAGGAGATGAACGAATGGATAAAAGCCCAAGTAGGAGTCTATGATATCAGAGTGAGGGAAGAAGTAAAACGTCAATGAGCAGAGCACGTTGCAAGAAGAATCTACCATCTTTATGCCAGCGAAACACTTGACTGTTTTGTAGCACACAGTAAACGTCCCGTGGGAAGGTCTTCAGATCGACGACAGGACTGACGGTGTTGGATTGACGTAGATGATAATCGTCGACAGAAGTCTGAGGCCAAACTTTATAAAGGCTTTTGGTGATGAGTGGAAGAACGATGATTATAAATAATGAATAATCTGTCTATTAAACTAAGCGACCGTTCGTTCAACTGAATAACTACAATTCTTACTATAATTTTGAATTTGCGACTGTTTGAAGTTTAGAGACGAAACTGCTGCAATCAGATGGCTCCAATTAAGCGATTTCGTTGTTGCGCAAGCCGACTTCACATTGTGACTGCAACTGTCGTCATGGCGTATGTTTGGATCATATTTTGTATCATCGATCTTTACCTGGCATCGCTTAGTTCACGCAAGCATCCTTTCCTACTCTCGATCGGATTTTTCATCGTCAACGTTCATTTCGTGATCATTCTCACGGTCGGCATTCGTCTGTCTAAGGCAATGGTTGTATTCTGTTCTTTGTTATTTGTGATAGTTATGGAAATGTCATTGCTTACGGTAGCTCTTTTGGCCATAATCTTCGCCTCTTTGTCAAAAGAGAATAACCTTGGATTTACCGTTGAAGAATTGGCTAGTTACTTCGCCGTTGGCATCGTCGAACTGGTCTACCTTATTTGGATGAACATCGTGCTGTACGAATGTTATCAATTTATGTGCTACATAAAGCCTGACTTTACTAACACGCGTTCAACGGGGACCGTCAGATCATATGCATCTTATCAATCGATGAATCATGTCCTGGCTGCTTTCCCAATTTGACGAAGACAGAAACTATTCATTCATAGACTTCGCCTCAAGACCGATAATATTAGTAACACTTATTTTTGCTGGCATTTATATATTAAATCTGCTGTTTCTTTATCATTAATAATTAATTTACTCTTTAGTTATGACTGAATTTAAGTTTTAATTTTCAGCAAAAAATTACGATGACAGCAGCGTAAAGCAACCGTTAAATAAATAATGGAAACTGCTAATATTTTAGATTCTCTCGCTATCAAAGAAAAAATCTGGCGCGGCTCATGATAAAAATCACAACTTGAAGTGATCATTTTTTAATTTTATACTGGGTAACATAAAAGCAACAAGTAGCCTTAAATTTATTTAAAATGTTTTCTAAAAAAAATAGATGCGCATGCAGATTTTGTGCTGAGATTGAACTGCATTGTCATCAAAAACTGACACACGAAACTCCTTTCCTTTCTGAAAGAATTTGTAACATGTTTCGTGCTCTATTAGGTCGTTAATTTGGTCGAAATAGGAAGTCGCATATCGGTTATTTTTGCTGCGTGACTAATTCAGCACCCAAAATGTACAATCATTACTAAATTCACTAAGTAACGCTAAGAAACCAAATCTTTAATGAACGGTATCATATTAATTAGAACATGACAAAATACAAGGATAAATCATCGCCTCATACGAAAAACGAACAGCTATGACTTTCGCAAAAGAACATTTAAGGAAAAAGTATTGATTGAAATGGGAATTTCGACATTGTCCAACGTAATAGAATATACAACAAAAAGTATGAACGAAAAATATCATTCTCGAATCGGTCATATTGTAGAGGCATGGTAAAAGCATCGACGGCGCCAACAGCAATAACAATTAATGAAGTAACCAGATTCATATTTTGTCGCGAACAATGCAAC